TTTGAGCTTCTCCACACAATTAAATACACAAGAACAGCCAGGAAAGCTTGGAATAGGAATAATGAGAACTTGTACAACAGATGTTAAAATGATTAAAAAAATTAACATTTCAGTAATGAAAGCCATTTGGTAGTAAAACCAAAATAGAAAGACTGATTACACCAGAATGCAAAGTCTGTGCAGATTTCACAAAGAAAGAGTAGATGCTAATCCCATGGCAGGAGCTCAGGATAACCCCAAGCACAAGAAGCGGGTCAGCTGGACGTGGCTTAGTGGACACCCCTCCCAGCTCCCGGCTGATCCCAACCTTCCTGGGCAGCCCAGCCGCCATGTCTACCCAGTACCGCCCCACGCCTGGGGGCTACCTATGCGCCCTCCAGCTGTGTGAGGGGCAGTTGACACATCCGGTTCCGTCTCATTCCCAATAAGAGTGTGTTTCAAAATAACCAGAAGAGAGGAATCTGTTTTACCAACATCAAGAAACCAGATATGCTAATTATCCTGGTTGATCACTACGCACCATGTACACGTAGTGAAACGTCACACTGTGCCCACAAACGTGCACAATTATCACGTGGGGATGGGAAAAGAGAAGATGCCATCTTTTCTGAAACTTAAAGGCAACTGAGCAGCAGTCAGGGAAAATGGTGAAGATGTCCTGGTTTCACTATTTTTGAAATGAAGTGACTTAATACGAGGGATAGGCAAGGGTGTGGGTGGATCTGAAGTGGGTTAAGATCTGAGAGGATGTGGCTGATAAGAGGAAATAAGTGTGATTGTCCCAAGATGAGAGGGGAGGGGCCGGCAGGAAGCCAGCAGCCCCAGCAGGGAGTGGCACCAATAATGTCAACTCACTGGCTTTTAAGTGATAATTCAACTTAGTCCACAGTGTTGCTATCACAACCAAGATGGTGCCACGCACCTGTGTGGAGGCCCAGGAAATCTCCTTCACCTGCAGGAAATGCCCGGGTCTTTACAAGAACCTTCTGCATCCACTGCCCACCTCTCCACCTCCTCCCAGCCTCACGCATCGCCCCTGCTTCTCCAGCCCCCACGGCTCTCTGGGCTCCGGGTACCAGGCCCTCTGAGCACGGCTCCTCCACTTGGTCACTGCTGACACCAGCTCACTGCCAATATTCCCTCTCACGTCACGACTCCCTCCCCTGTACACAGCTTTTCCATGATGATCAGATTACGTCATAACGTATCATGACGATATCTGTGACATCATATTATATAATATCATGTCATAAGGTCACGTGTTGTTGAAGTAGCAGCAAGCCTTTAGTCTGCACGGGGGATTATTTTCTTCCTCCTGCTTTTCTGCATGTTGATAATAAGCATATATTGTTCCTAAGATTTGTAAGTAATCATTCTCGGAAATAAGTCTAGACCCCATGGTTGATGGGTCCTGGCCAGAGCCGCAGTGGGTGAGTGCCCCTTCAGGACAGTGCTTCAAGGGCCACTCCAAGTTCACTTTGCGCCTCTGAGAAGCCACACAGGGCTGGGGACAGAGCATTTTGACGTAAAATAATCACAGATGTTTGCAACCATTTCCTTTGCCACAGAATACCATCCCGAGAGCCCTGCAGCCTGCATGTGTGACTCAAAGGTATGTGTACAGTGCCTTCATAAGGTGGCCTTTGGGCACGAGGGAGTTTTTAAAGGAGAGTTTTGATGTGGCACCAGTCGGAGGTCACGGTCAGGGACAGCTCATACAGTAAGCCCTGAGCAACATTAAAAGTGACCAGAAACAGTGCTCTGAGGACCTAGCCCAGGGACCACAATGGCCCCTCCAGCTGCTCTCAAGCCAGGGAGTAACACAGGAAAAGGCCCTGGGGTAAGCCAGGCTCATCCGGGCTCCCAGGAAGGGGTCCCCGGCTCTCACTCTGAAGCACCAGAGGGGCGAGAACCGCTAGGGCACGGCTGGGGGCTCACAGGAGACGTGTCCAGCCAGACCCCTGGGGTTGGCCCAGATGTGAGCTGCGGACTTACCTCCACACCACCCGTGTCAGTTTGGGCTCTCGTCCCTTTGAACTCCAAATCCTACCATCCATGATCGTGATGTAGATAATGGATTACAAACACGGCAGGGCCCTCGCAAACGGCTTTTGTGAACAGTCTGCAACACAGATGCTGAGACCAACTGAGCTGGTGCAACTCACGGGTCACAGCCTGGTGTTTAATTTCTGCAGATATATTCACTTCCGGTTTTTGCTGCACTCTCCAGGGTAAGCTCAATGGAATCTGTTGTCACTGTAGAGCACCAAGCCCCCCTCCACCGCCCTCTTCCTCAGGTTTGGGACCCCCTCTTCTTCCCTTGCTTGTGATACATCGCTACCTGTCACCTGCCACGTCTCTGCCGGCTGGGACGGTGGGCCCCTCTGACATGTAGACATCATTTGGACACCGTGACACTGTCTGGCTGGCTGAGGGAGAAGCCTCTGGGTTCCTGAGTCCCTCCCTAGTCATGGTGGGAGGGAAAGGGTGGCACGTTCCCTCTGGGAGAACTTGGGACACCAGTGGCCACACGGCCTCCGTGGCCCAGGCACGTGCACAGAGAGGATCTCCTGCTCTGCTGCTCACCACGAGGTTCCTCAGCAGTGACACACCAGGAAGCAGCCTCGTGACCACTGGCTGATTCGTGAACAGGACGTGCAAAGGTCACTGTCCTCCTCCTTCACCAACCCACGAGGCCCCAGGGCTGGGATCAAGGCGCCATCTCCACCCTCGGAGCCTCCTGTGCAGAAGAAACGTGCTTCGTGGTCTAAGGACCCTCCACAAAGGAAAGAGGTCGTCAGGGAGGCTGAGCTCATGAAGGGAGAGAAAGGAGAGGACAGAGCCGGGAGTCCGGAAGCAGGACCAGCCTGCACAACAGCATTGCGCCAAGCAGGTGGCCCTGCTTAGGGAGGAACAGGGGACTTCCTGGGGGGCAGACCGGACAGCAGGGGACCTGACGGTGTGTTCCAGGGTCAAGTCACACAGCCCTGGGGAAGATGAGGAGACTGGAATTAAAATAAGATCCTTCCAGGGTTCTAAGCAGAGCTGGGGATGCACTGGACCATGGGAGAGCAGAAGGCCACTCCGTGTGATGTCCCCAGAGGCACATGTCCCACGTAGATGTGCCTGCCTCTGACAAACAAAGCAGGTGACCCTCCTGTGTAGTCTGAGTACTTCTCACAGCCTCAGGCCTCTGTGTAGCAACTGACTGTCCTCATTCTCTTCCTAAATTAAAAAGCAATATGTGGTTGTAACAAGTGAAATGTATAACTGAAGTTTTAAGACATTAGTGTTAGTGATTAGAAAATAAGAGTACACCCTAAAACTAGTCTGTAATTTGTTTTTTATATTAAAATGTCATCCTTCAATAAACATAGAACTTACTTTATCTTTTTAAGGTTTGTATAATATTCTATAGTACAGATAAAAGACGCTTTATTCAATCATTCCCCTACCGACAGGTATTAAAAATGACCCAGGAAACACCTTTGTATGCACCTCTGTCAGATTCCCAGGTGTGAGAAGGTTTGATTAAAGCCTGTGTGTTTTTCCCTTTAGTAGCTATGATCAGATTACTTTCCAAAGGCTTGGTGGCCGTTTGTGCCCCAGCAGCAATGTCACTTCCCAGCCTCGTCTGTAACACCACAGGCTCCCTTCAACTTGCGCCCATCCGATGGTGCAAGACCAGCATCTGTCTTAATCTGAACTTCCCCTCCCAGAGAGTCGAGCTCCTTTTCACATGCGTTTAGCTACCTGAATCTCCTCCTCTGAACGCACGGTCATTGTCTCTAGCAGTTTTTCTCTGGGATCATCTTTTTATAAATTCAAGAGTTCTTCCTTTATTAGGAATGAAAAGCCTTTGTTCACCATATGGATCAAAAACATTTCCCCAGTCTTTACCACTTCATTTCAGCTCTCTTTTAACTTAAAAAATTTGTTTTATGAAACTAACTGTGTTAGTTTGTCATTCATAGCTTCTGGGTTTCTGGTTTTGACTGAAGGGTCCTGATCCACATCGAGCTGTAATAAATGATTTGTTAAATTTGTGTATTTGTAACGTCTGAACTGGTGTGGCTGAAATACCGTCTACCCTAAAGGACAAGTCCCCCCCCTGTCACCACCACAGGGGACCCTGAAGCCCTCTGAGAAGATGAAGTGTGAACGCACAACTGCGTTTTCTCGGTGTATGAAGGAGAACTGCCCAAGCCAATACAGATACGGTCAGGTCCTGGCAGGTCCCGCTCAGCCTCGTCAGACATGCGTCCCAGAGAAGACGCTCTCCGGGCTCCACTCCCGTTTAAAGCAGCAACTGAGCTCCTGTAAACGCTGGAATCTACACCAGCAAGTCCCATAGAGCACAAGCAACCTCCAAGCGGAGCAGAGCTGCCCCGGGGGCACCGTTGTGCCGGCATCCGGGCGCCTGGGGACACTGCTCATGGGTGCTGAACCCCCGGCCTCCATTTGTCACAGGTGGCTGGAGGTGCTCACCACTAGTGTCAACTTATGGCTCAGCTCCTAACGGTGCTTTAAGTCCCTTTAAGGCCCCAGCCCTGAAGACCCTGCTCTCAGCCCCTCCGGGGAGGCCCTTGGCTGCTGTGCTCACGGCCCTCCCGGCCTGCCCGGCGTGGGGTGGGCCCTCGTGAACACATAACGGCCACATACCCGAACATGGCGACAAGCAGGTTGACGAGCAGGATGTTGGTGGACAGCATGTAGATGCACACCAGGGGGATGGTGACCCACTCGGGGAAGCGGGGCAGGCTGTGCTCGTCCAGCTCCACGCACAGCGGCTTGGACTCGTTGCCGGTGAAGGTACAGTGGGCGAAGTCGTACGTGGTACCTGAGCGGGTGGAACCAAAGGCCCAGTGAGGCCCCTCCAGAGGGCCCAGGGCCCTGGCACACTGGGGAACCAGGACGCGGTCATGGATATCCAAGCAAGGGACACACCTCAGAGTCTCCTGTCCCTCCACTCGGTGCTTCCTGAGCTACCTCCCTGTTCCTTAGGGACTTCACTGAGGTCAAGATCAAGCAAGGGCACAGGCCCCATGGCCTCCACGGGTCAGCGGGTACCCAGGCACAGAGCTAGAGGTCCAGCCTGTGAGACACGCACAGGGGCTCTGAGGCCGCAGTCGGGGGCAGTCCACCCAGAGGGAAGGGTCTCTGAGCTGAGAGCAGAAGGCTGGGCAGGAGCCGGCCACGGGGGCGAACGGGAGGAGCAGGTGCCCAGGGCGTCCCAACAGAGCCAAGGCCTACGGCGTGGGCATCACTGAAGACATCATCCCTCCCAGAACGAGAGACCTAGATGCCCAGCGACCGGACACACTTTTTTTTCTTTTTAAAATTTTTACACTAAAACAGCGGGAAGCCATCAGACTGTTTTAAGCAGGGGACAACACATCAGACTCTCCTCATCTGGCTGCAGCATGGATGGGGGGAGCCAGAGAGGGAGCTGGGAGGGTGGGAGGAGGGTGCAGGCAGACAGAATGGGATGCTTAGGGTGGGCTGGGGGCGGGGACGCAGCAGGATGTCAAATCATCTTAGAGACAAAGTCCACACAGCCAGCTGAGGACGTGGATGTTGGGGTGGACTCAGAAGAGGATCAAGAATGACATCGAGGCTCTGGGGTGCACAGCTGAGCTCATGGTAGGGAGACTGAGACAGAAGATAGAGTCGCCCCCAAAAGGGCACACATCACACTAAAAGCCGAGATGCTGCCCCACTGGCCACCATGTATGCTCCCGAGTGCGACCAAAACACCAACACGGAGGACCGTCCCAAGGACAAACGCAATGGCTTATGGGAAACAGCAAGAAGGGCGAGCAGACGGGATAATAATGATGAAGAGGAGGAAGAACCGTGTTTCTAACGTCCTGGAAGAGGCTCCAGCACAGGGTGCCGGAGAGACTGAAGAAGAGAGAGCCACAGGACACTGAGAGGTGCCACCAATCAGGGCAGGGCAGGCGCTGGCTCCAGGAGGCCGTCGGCATAGTCTATGGCGGGCAGACAGGACATGACGGCCGGGCTCATGTCAGCACCATAAAGATGCCTCACACGGTTCCCTGCCAGCACCAGCACACGCCCTGCTCTGCTCGCCTGCGCTGGGTATGGGCGAATTAAGCCACCGGGCCACCACGGCTGCCTCCCCAAACCAGCTGGCACTGGGCTGATGTAAAAGTTTAGATTCCAGGTTCAGTGCACATTTCTCCACGATGCTCTTTTTGAAACAAATAGGTGCCCCGTTACCCTGTTGTAGGAAAGCACAGCTCGTGAGCGGGGTTCCTCCAGCCGCCACGTTACTCTGAAATCATTCTTCAAAAGGTTTGAAAAGTGAAATGCTGGGGACAAGGGAGAGTCCTGCTTAGGAGTAAAGACAAGGTTTGAGGATTGTTTCTTCAGTCCGTGGCTCCGGCCCCCGCCCAGTGAACACAAGGAACTGCGGTCAGGGTCAGCCCCGGAGGCTGCCTTCTGCTGGCCCCCTCCCAGCCCCATCTCCACCTGAGCCACGTCGGCTTACCATCCACGTCGCTGGGCACCTGGCCGAACATGGCCAGGTAGGGCTCGTAGATGACGGAGCGGAAGATCCACCTCCAGCGCTGCTCGTTTTGCCTCAGGATCCCTTGCCTGGCCACCCCGAAGGCCACCATCCACACGGCAAAGAGGAACAGGAAGAAGAAGACATCGACCAACTGCCAAGGAAGGACATCAGAACAGAGTCGGGAGCATGCCCACGGGCAGTGGGGCCCGCAGCCTGGCTGTTCTCAGTTAGCCCTGGTCCCAGGGCCCTGGAACTCTAGGTGACCTGTGCTCACTTGCTAATTTCTAAAAAAATGTCCGGCTTCACCTTTGGGTCTGGGGACAACGCTTTTCCAGAATTAAACCTGAAGGATGCATGTGTGTCCACCAGTCTCCAAACCAGCTCGGCACCCACCGCTGAGTGACAGCCCAGCTCAAGAACACACAAAGACCCATGGGGAGGACCTCTCTGTGTCTAGACCACACGTACTTGCATTCTTTAAACCCCTAAATTATTTCTGTAGGTTTCCTTTCCTTGGGAAACAAAAGCAGTTCTTATTAGACAAGAATGGACAATTTGATTTTTTTACAGTTTTTGCACACACAGCATGACTTCATAGTGACTCCCTGCCTCAGATATGCTTTGAGCGAAAACCACAAGCTCAGCCTCAGTGTTGGAAAGGAACGTCCAGATGAGCTCATCCAGGCCCATCTCGCTGCAAGACCGACAGTGGAGGTCTGAGCCACATGGAGAATCGGCCTAGGGAGCCACCGCCTTGTGTGATTTCCCCTCCGGTGCCACGTGAGCGTGGGGGGTCCTCCCTGCATGTGTCCCAGGGTCTGAGGTCAGGCTCCAATCCTCCCCTCCCTGCCCACACTCTTAGCAAAGTGTTCAGACTCCACTGGGAGCACACTGTAAAGTGTGCATCTGAACACGGGTGTTTATTTCCTACTCCCAGCCGTCTCTCCTGAAAGTTCAACCTGGGGGACGCCCCTCATGAGGACACGTGGAAGAAAGCAAGCGTCACTGATTGAGAAATGCAACCATCATGCTAGGGGAGAAATCCTCCTGTCGATCATTAGTGGAACTGAACGGAGCAAGAGAACCGTGGCGAGAGGGACTCTTGGCTCTTACCATCCTCTGCAACATTATGATCTTGGGTCCTAAATTTCTGCTGACAGTGAAAATGTGGATCAACCTTAGGGTGAATATAATGTAATCCAGGCAGAAAATGACCCGGCCGGAGTACAGCGAACTTTTATTAGAGGGGTGGAGCCTGTGGAGAGAAGGAGAACAGATGTGTGGGACGTGGACAAAGCATCGCAACGCCGAGTTTTTAAAGTAACCAGAGTCGGGGAGCGGCTGAGAGCCAGGAGCTGAGGTGTGGAACAAGGCAGGAGCACCACCACTGCCCTCTGCCACGCGGGCGCCAAAGAAGGCCCCAAGAGCTCTGGAGGCTCCTGCCTCCCTGTCCCTCGCACTCACGTCCTCCTGCCATCTTTGCTGGCTCACAGGGAGGTGTCCAAGACGATGCCAACCCCACCCCAAACCCTGGACTTGGCTCTGCCAACTTCCCTCAAAAACTCGCCGGGGTCTCCCCGACGCTGATTAGCTAAGCCCTGCCACCAGAGGACCCCCCGTCAATGCTGAGATCCTAACCCCAGCAGGAAGGAGGGAGGAAGAAATGGCGTGCTCGCCCCTTCGCCGTGGAGGGCGACATGCCGTCTTCACGGGGCAAAAGGGAGCAGGTGGGCTCCTGTGCACAGTGGCGCCCTGTGTGCCTGTCCATGACGCAGCTGCCCTTTGGCCTGGAGGGACGTGGGCAAGGGACCAGGCCTGGGGCTTCCCAACCCTTCCTCAGGGAGGGCGGCTGGTGCTTTGCCCTCGGGGGCAGCGTTGGATTTGTCTGCTGACGCACTCGGGGACTGAGGATTGTGCTGGGGGCTGAAGGACCGCTCCGTGGCCGGTTTTCAGGTTAAGGTCACACGTGTCTTAGGTCACACACCCCAAATGAACCAGCAGCCTAAGGTCTCGGCATCCTTGTCACCCTTTACTCTCCTCGGAGTGTAGTTCCCTCTCCCCAAAGCCTAGAAGGCCAAAAGGAAAGATCACAGACCCCCGGGAGGGAAGAGAGGAAACGCTGACCAGGCTCACCAGGCTGGCCAAGCTGCCCAGGCTGCCCAGGCTGACCAAGCTGACCAGGCTGACCAGGCTGACCAAGCTGCCCAGGCTGACCAAGCTGCCCAGGCTGACCAGGCTGACCAAGCTGCCCAGGCT